TGGCATTTTTATTTTTAATTTTACTTTTGTAGTGTTCATACCTGGCTGACATATGTCTAATTTGAAGCAGAGCATAAAATAGAGAAGTAAAAACCATGTTGCTTGTCTGAAAGAAGACCCTGCAATGTGAGAGACCTAAATTAAATTTATTAAAAAATTATCTAAGTCTGTTCACATCTAAGTCTGTTTACATTTATCTAAGCATGTTTACATCTATCTATCTATCTATCTATCTATCTATCTATCTATCTATCTATCTATCTATCTATCTATCTATCTATCTATTTAAGCATGTTCACATCTATTTTTCTTTTATAAATATTTACTAAGTTTACTTGAGTCTAGTACTATATTATATGTAAAGGTGCACCCAGTAAGGATCAGATTCACTTGAATAATAACAGTATTCAAGATTAGTTTACTAATCACTATTCCATAATGAAATATTTCTAATTTTAGTACATGGTACAAGGCCACAAGTATTGGCCACTCAGAAATGATCAAACTCAGTAAGTTACAGATGACCTCCATTCAAATAAAGATGCTTCTATTTAAATGTATATATAGGACAAGACCCTTTGTTTAAATTAAAATATAACTAAAAGTTTAAGTAATTGGTGGCAATATTGAATTTTTTAACTTTCTTATTAATGAAGCCTCATATTCTAATCACATATTCTTAAAGCTTAATATACTTATTTTTGTGAATATGCATATAGCATAATAGTTAGCAGAGTAGAACATATGAGTGGCATGCAGAGTTCAAATTTCAACCAAGATACTTACTTACAATTTCAAGCAAATATTCTTGGAAAGGTATGAATATATATATTCTTCTGCTGACTAGGATTTAATAGCAGAGTTCTCTAGCTTTGTTTAACAACCAATCTAAGAGAAGGAAAACTGAATTCAAAACCAACCTGAAGAAGGATACACTCCATCAAACTGTTTTACGTTAGACACACCACTGCTACTATGGGTATGGTACATGTAGTGCCACTATGGCCTCAATGTTTAATAATTTTCCCATACAAGAAAAAAATAATGAGGTGTACAATAAAAAAAGAAAATTACTCTAACTCAATGTGAAATTGATACAAAGAATTTGTTGTGATACCTAAGAAGCAAAGTGTAAATGTATATGAGCTCCATTGAATAATCTATTATATGAGCCACATAATGATGAATAGATCATTTAGCAGAATTAGATCAGAAATGGGACAAGAACAATGTGGATTTTTTTTTAAAAATCATGTACATGAGATATTTATGAAATGAAATATTTATGATCAGAATATCAGAATGAGCAATGCAAATGCAGAAGGATGTATATCTGTTTTATAGACTTCACAAAAACAAATAAACATAAATCACAACCTAAAGATCTATTTGAACTACTTGCAAAACTTGATTTATTTAGAAAAGTCATTAGAATAGTGTATAATATATACAGAGATCAAACAGCTTGCATATGGATAGGAAATTAATTTGCAGATATAGAAGGGGATATAAGACAAAGATGCATTTTCTCACTGTATTATTTAATGTAATCCCAAGAGAACTCTAAATCCTACAAGTATTTATTATTGGCAAGCACAATCTAACAACAAAAGATATGCGAATGACATGTTGATAGTGGGCAGAAAAAAAATTGAGGGACAGCTAGACAAGGTAGTAAAAGAAAGTATGAAGAAAAATTAACCATCAATTATAAGAAGGCAGAATGTATGGTTGTCATCAAGAAAAAGCCCAAGATGTGAACGATGAACTGGAGATGTCAAAATAAAACAAGTACAGAAGTTAAAATATTTGGGAAGTGTTTTAACAGGCGATGGAAAATGTGGCATCAAACTCTGAATACAAAAGATGTGTTCCAAAAGAAAGCAAAGTATTAAGAAACAGGAAAATTTCATTAGAAACAAAAGAGAGTGCTGAACTGCTATGTAAATACACTCCATCTATCTGATGGTGAATGCTGGACAACTTATTTACAGATGAAGAAGAGACTTTAGGCAAAAGAGATGTGATTCTATAGATTCTGAGAATACCATAGATGGTTGGCAACCAGTCTACCACAGAAAGAAATGGCAACTTAGTGCAGGAAAACCTTCTGCTTAGTCAGTCCTGAATCAAAAGAGACATGATCACCCAAGCATATATTACATATGGCACGTGACTGACGTTTTTCTTTCTTTTTTTTTAATCAGTATCACGCCATGCAAGGCAGTAATGCCACTAAAATACAAGGGGCTACAGGGGTGTGGAGGAATTAGGGACAGAAACAGTAATAATGAATGAAAAAAGAAAAGAGTAATCATGAGGAAAATACATAGTGATTGACACTACATTGAGAATCAGAAAGAGACAGTTGAAATTTCTGCGACACATAACGAAAGAGGGCTTGAAAAATTTAACACTCACAAGACATATTGAAGGCAAGAGAGAGAAAGGAAAACAGAAAGTAATGTACCTACCAAGCTTGTGGGAATGGATGGTAGTGGGAAGGACACTTAAAATGATTCTAAGAGCTACAAAGGATAAAAAATTGAGAAGAGCCATGATGGCCAATTTTTTGAAGGGACTATATATAAAAGATATCATTCTAATGAATTTTGTTCATTGCACCAAACTCATTACAGTAGTAATAGTCTGAGAGACTAGATTGCTAACCATTGCTCTATGGTGAGGTGCCCTTATTGATATTTACTAATCTCAGTTTATTATGGCACAAGGCCAGAGTAATAGGGCATCCAGTGAGGATCAAACTCACTACAGTAGTAATGATCTGAGAGACTAGATTACTAACCATTGCTCTATGGTGAGGTGCCCTTATTGATATTTACTAATCTCAGTTTATTATGGCACAAGGCCAGAGTAATAGGGCATCCAGTGAGGATCAAACTCACTACAGTAGTAATGATCTGAGAGACTAGATTGCTAACCATTGCTATATGGTGAGATATACTTATTGATATTTACTTAGCTCAGTTTATTATGGCACAAGGCCAGAGTAAAAGGGCATCCAGTAAGGATCAAACTCACTACAGTAGTAATGATCTGAGAGACTAGATTGCTAACCATTGCTCTATGGTGAGGTGCCCTTATTGATATTTACTAAGCTCAGTTTATTATGGCACAAGGCCAGAGTAATAGGGCATCCAGTAAGGATCAAACTCACTACAGTAGTAATGGTCTGTGAGACTAGATTGCTAACCATTGCTCTATGGTGAGATATCCTTATAGATAAGCCCAGTTTATAATAGCACAAGGTCAGAGTAATAGGGCATCCAGTAAGGATCAAACTCACTACAGTAGTAATGGTCTGTGAGACTAGATTGCTAACCATTGCACTATGGTGATGTAACCTTATTGATATTTACTAATCTCAGTTTATTATGGCACAAGGCCAGAGTAATAGGGCATCCAGTGAGGATCAAACTCACTGCAGTAGTAATGATCTGTGAGACTAGATTGCTAACCATTGCTCTATGGTGAGGTGCCCTTATTGATATTTACTAAGCTCAGTTTATTATGGCACAAGGCCAGAGTAATAGGGCATCCAGTAAGGATCAAACTCACTACAGTAGTAATGGTCTGTGAGACTAGATTGCTAACCATTGCTCTATGGTGAGATATCCTTATAGATAAGCCCAGTTTATAATAGCACAAGGTCAGAGTAATAGGGCATCCAGTGAGGATCAAACTCACTACAGTAGTAATGATCTGTGAGACTAGATTGCTAACCATTGCACTATGGTGATGTAACCTTATTGATATTTACTAATCTCAGTTTATTATGGCACAAGGCCAGAGTAATAGGGCATCCAGTGAGGATCAAACTCACTGCAGTAGTAATGATCTGTGAGACTAGATTGCTAACCATTGCTCTATGGTGAGATATCCTTATAGATAAGCCCAGTTTATAATAGCACAAGGTCAGAGTAATAGGGCATCCAGTGAGGATCAAACTCACTACAGTAGTAATGATCTGTGAGACTAGATTGCTAACCATTGCACTATGGTGATGTAACCTTATTGATATTTACTAATCTCAGTTTATTATGGCACAAGGCCAGAGTAATAGGGCATCCAGTGAGGATCAAACTCACTGCAGTAGTAATGATCTGTGAGACTAGATTGCTAACCATTGCTCTATGGTGAGGTGCCCTTATTGATATTTACTAATCTCAGTTTATTATGGCACAAGGCCAGAGTAATAGGGCATCCAGTAAGGATCAAACTCACTGCAGTAATAATGGTCTCTGAGACTAATTTAGTAGCCAGTGATACATTGTTAATTCTTTTTCTTTTTGGCGGTAGTCAGACTTGATACTTAAGAGAGATCATATGTATAAATTGAAGCCTCTATGAACCTAATGTAATGTATTTATTTTATGCAACAAATAATTTATTCTTAGACTCATTGCGTTTTCGAACATTTTCCACTGACATGAAGTGGAATAATTATAATGAGTAACCATAAATTCTATGCTAACAGCTATTATTCTTGCACTTCTTGCTTGTGGAACTATCTTCCAGCTTCTTGCTTCCCAGTCAACTTTGAACTTCAAATATTTACATTGAATGCTAATCACTATCTTCTGTCTTCTTAATTTTTGTTCTTTCATTGTTCTTTCTCTTTAATGTTTTCTTTTTCTCATTCTTTCAAACTCAGTAACTCTTTGCATCTTAGCGGCTTTATTGCCTTTCTTAGACTGAAAAAAAAAGCTCCTTCATTGTTTTTGTATTTAATTCAGTAGTGAATTGTAATCACAAAGATTGAACATTATACAGTGAAAATTTCAGATCAACATTCAGCTAATAACTGTCAGAATATTGATCTACCCTAGATATTGATTATTAAGATTATTGAAACAGCATTTATTAGGAATATATTTTTAATTCTCCATTCATTATTAGTAATTATTTCTGAGTTGTGAAGTAAATGTTTTATTTGCGAAGATGATCTAATTTCTAAAGAGGTAATGGTATAATTTCAGACACTGAGTAGAGACGCAGTTGCTGCTATGGTAATCAATAGAGAGGATGGTATTGGGGCAGTGACAGTTATCATGGATGCTGTAGATATGAGTCCTGATACATCTTGGAGGTAAAATCTCATTTTATGCCAGTTTATTTTTATTTCCTAACATTTTTATCTGCACTCATATTTCATGAATACTTTTCATAAATAAAAGAATTGATACTATTGAACATTTTTAAAGAAAGTTTATAGAAAAATTAAAAAACAACAAACTTTTTAAAATCTGGGAAACTTATTTCCTATATATATATATATATATATATATATATATATATATATATATATATATATTACTTATTTATTTGTAAAAGAAAACTTATTTTAGCCAATGTGTTTCATCCTTTGTTGGACTTTTATCAAGGTAAATGTAAGGATTTTATTTTGTAAAAGGAAAACAAAAGTAAAAATGTTAGTTCTGCAGAATTTTTAAATTATATATATAAATACAGTGTAACCCGGATATAAGAGACCCGGATATAAGAGAAACCCGGATATAAGAGAGATTTTCTCTGGTCCTGACAACTCTCTTACATCCAGGTTACCCTGTATATATAATAATTATTAAAAATGTTATTTTAGTGGATACATGTTTGAGTATACATCTGTTTATTTACAAACAGGTAAATTAATGTCTACTGGCTTAGATCATGAAATGTTTTATTCATGAAAATGTTCCTCCTGGCAGAAATTGAATCTGCTTTCTTTTTTTTTCTGGGAAACCACTTTAACTAGGTGTGACATTACCATTTTAACCTTGGAACCTCTTACATATATATATATATATATATATATATATATATATAGATAGATAGATAGATAGATAATATTAGTGGTAAATATACACATACATATGCAAAATATATAAATATATATACATAGATGCATACACATACATATATATTTTTTTAATAAAAAAATTCCAAGAGGATAGAATCCAGGTAGAACTCAATGTCCAGGACAGAGTAAGGATATAATAAAAAGGCTTAAACACTAATATTCCATGGTCATAATTTATTCCATTGGAATCGTAAAATGATCCAATTCTTACTCTCTCTAAATTCTATTTTTATTTCGAAGTTGTTTTTTTCTGTTTTCTTTTTGAATTTGTAGGTCTGATGAATTGGATCGTATTTACGATTCCAGTGGAATAAATTATGACCATGGAATATTAGTGTAAGCCTTTTTTTTTTATATATATATATATATATATATATATATATATATATATATATATATATATATTACAGTTATGTCTTTATGCTAGTTTGTAAAATAATTGATTTCCTGTATCATAATTCGATGAACTTTTGTTAAAAAATAATGAAGAAGGGATTAATTCAGTTTATTTTTTTTAAAATGTCACCCCAACAAACTTGGTCACACTAGTAAGTAGATAGATGCACTCTTAGTTTAGGGTTGTCAAAGTGAGTATTTGTGGCTAACTTACAGATAGGTTCCATATTTTCAAATAAAAGCAATTGGTTGTAAATGCATGGTATTTACTTATCAAATGTGGGCCTGCTCTGTTTAGATTAAAATTTGGATACTAGTAATTGCTTCAGTCATAAAATCACTTGAAAATGATAATCTTTCATCGCAAATCAGATAATAAATGGTAAATTTGAACAGTGCAGATTAAGCACTTTTGTTTGATGTGCGACATTGTACTGTTGGAAGAAATGATTGTGTAAATTGAAATGTCAGGAAAAATTAATTTTCTCCATTGCTCGAGCACAGGGTACTTGCCTGGACTATACTGATATGCCACAGTCTACTTCAGATTCTCTCTGATGTCAAGTGGATAGGTTGCAACCCTAATTTCTCTTGAAATTTTGGTGAAAAAGTGTGACCTATCCTTGAGTATATACAGTTTAATAATGAACTTACATTAGATATTTAGATATGGTTTGAGAGAAGGGCTAATAATATTATAATTATTATTTGCATTCTCTTTGTCATGTAAATTGCATTTTTTTACTTCTTATTAACAGAGAAATGCAAAACCTTATGACAGCAATTATTTTAAGTATAATTTCATGTTTAAAACACTAAAAATTTACAAAAAATTAATTTGAAGAAATCTTAACAGAAATATTTGTTTTTCCAACATTTACTTTTGACTCCTGCGGTTATCCTTTTATACATTTTATATATTCGTTTTATATATAAATTTTATATATTTGTTTTATATATACATTTTATATATTTGTTTTATATATACATTTTTTTAAATGCTCAAAATATATGATGAAAGGTTGATGAATTATGAAATATTTTTAATGTTTATTTTTAATGTTTATTTCCAGGTCAAATCATTCAGTGGAATATGCACCCCCTTCATACAGTGAGGTCCTTGGGCAGAGCTATACCCCCTCTTCAACCAGTGCTAGACAACCATCACCATCAGAACAAGATTTTGAACCACCCCCTTCTTATGATGAGGCAGTAGCTGCTTTGGCCTGTCGACAGGTTGTGGTCTCTGCACCCAGCAATGAGTACTCTGAGTTTATTGGCCACACCTGTACATCTGTTGCTATGGAACAGGTATCTTCTCCATCCTCACCAGCATCACCACATCAATCAGCTGAGCAGCGGTATCCACTGCGTCCTAAACTGCGGCATCAAGAAAGTATTGATGAAGAAAGTGATGATCCAATGCAGGAAGAATTTCCAGCTGTAACAGGCTGATTGAAAACTTGGAAAGATTTATGCCTTTAATCCTGTGTGGTATAATACTGATACCATTCTAGTTGCATGGAATGATGTGGTATAATAATTAATGTGGTATGATAGTTATACCACTCTAATTAACTGCAAAGAGATGTGATATGATAATAATCCCAATTTTTCATCCTGTGAGATTGTATGGTTAAGTGGTGATATTGTTATGATCCTCTAAGATCTCATGGTACTCTTTCAGTCTTGTGAGATGGTATAACATCATAATTCTTACCATTTTGGTCTCATTAAAAAATATGGTAAGACAGTGATGCTGTCTTTCTTTCTGGTTTTCATTTCTTTACCAAAAAGTTAAAGAAATAAGCAAAATAAAAAAGAAAGAAATGTATGCTTAAAAGAAAAAAAGAGAAAAGATTATTTCTAATGTCTTCCTAGAAAAAGAGAAGATATATTAATAAAGACAATCTTTATGCAACATATGAACATAAAAGAATAAATTTTAAAAAGATCTGAAAATTTTTGAAGTATAAAAAGTTACAAATTATAAATTTTATGAAGAAAAGTTAATTCTTTCTGGTTTTTTATTGCCAATGTTAGGCAATGCATTTTGGCCCGATAATTGCTAATATCTTTGCTTTTAAATGAAATCCAAAGCATCTAAAACACCAAAATATTTTGGGTTAACAAATTTTTGCAAGTTAACAATAATGAAACTTTATCATTTTTCACTTATTTTATTAAATTGTTGTTTAATTTGCAAATTCTTTAAATTCTCCTTATCAAGAAAAGATGAAAAGGAAAAAAAAAAGTCAGTAAGCAAAATTTGAGCTTGTAATAATATAATGAAATCTGTGTACCATTTTTACACACACTAAATAAACACACATCTATGAGCATTTTTGACTATATCATTATAGCAATATATTTAATGAACAAATAAAGTAGATCTCATTGTATGTGCAAAAATATAAACCCCATTAATAATTAACAAACTAACTAAATAAATAAAAAATGAAAAAGACTAATTCAGCTAATTTGACATATGCCACACATTTTCAAAATATCAAGTGAAAAAGAAACACATATAGGTACACATACACTGGCATGCAAAACTTTTGAGACATCATGGTAAATTGTTTTTGTTTTACTCCAAAACTGAATGATTAACAGTATGTTTTTTTTAGAACCAGAAAACAAGTTATTGTATTTTTGTTAGTGCTGTATGGGGGATGATAGAATATCTTAAGCATAAGAATGCTTAGTATCTTAAGCATAGGAATGCTTAGTATCTTAAACATAGGAATGCTTAGTATCTTAAGCACAGGAATGCTTAGTATCCAAAGCATAGGAATGCTTAGTATCTTAAGCATAGGAATGCTTAGTATCTTAAGCATAGGAATGCTTAGTATCCAAAGCATAGGAATGCTTAGTATCTTAAGCATAGGAATGCTTAGTATCTTAAGCATAGGAATGCTTAGTATCCAAAGCATAGGAATACTTAGTATCTTAAGCATAGGAATGCTTAGTATCCAAAGCATAGGAATGCTTAGTATCCAAAGCATAGGAATACTTAGTACCCAAAGCATAGGAATACTTAGTATCCAAAGCATAGGAATGCTTAGTATCCAAAGCATAGGAATACTTAGTATCCAAAGCATAGGAATACTTAGTATCCAAAGCATAGGAATGTTTAGTATCCAAAGCATAGGAATGCTTAGTATCCAAAGCATAGGAATGCTTAGTATCCAAAGCATAGGAATACTTAGTATCCAAAGCATAGGAATGCTTAGTATCCAAAGCATAGGAATACTTAGTATCCAAAGCATAGGAATGCTTAGTATCCAAAGCATAGGAATGCTTAGTATCCAAAGCATAGGAATGCTTAGTATCTTAAGCATAGGAATGCTTAGTATCCAAAGCATAGGAATACTTAGTATCTTAAGCATAGGAATGCTTAGTATCCAAAGCATAGGAATACTTAGTATTCAAAGCATAGGAATGCTTAGTATCCAAAGCATAGGAATACTTAGTATCCAAAGCATAGGAATACTTAGTATCCAAAGCATAGGAATGCTTAGTATCCAAAGCATAGGAATGCTTAGTATCCAAAGCATAGGAATACTTAGTATCTTAAGCATAGGAATGCTTAGTATCCAAAGCATAGGAATGCTTAGTATCCAAAGCATAGGAATACTTAGTATCTTAAGCATAGGAATGCTTAGTATCCAAAGCATAGGAATGCTTAGTATCCAAAGCATAGGAATACTTAGTATCTTAAGCATAGGAATGCTTAGTATCCAAAGCATAGGAATACTTAGTATCCAAAGCATAGGAATGCTTAGTATCCAAAGCATAGGAATACTTAGTATCTTAAGCATAGGAATGCTTAGTATCTTAAGCATAGGAATGCTTATATCCAAAGCATAGGAATACTTAGTATCTTAAGCATAGGAATGCTTAGTATCCAAAGTATAGGAATACTTAGTATCTTAAGCATAGGAATGCTGATAAAAGTCCATCCATAAATGCTGGGCAATCATGGAGAAATTCCACCTTTTAGATCAAATATTTGAAAAATTTCTCCATTTTTCTAGTTTGACAAAAGATTAGCCTGTAATATAGTTTTTACTGTTTAGGTTTCCATCATCATTTACCAATTTTTTTCTGCAATCACTTTTGATGCAACACAACACCATCACATATCTATCACTAAATTTACCTGTTTTTATAGTGTATCTTTCATTGTTTCTTTCTCCCACTGATCTTCTTATATGTTTTATTGCATTAGAATGTAATTTTATTTTGCATCCATTACTAAAAATTACTTTTTGCCACTTTTAAACATCCCATGTTAGATATTCTTTTGTTCACTTCAATCTCCTATTCCAAAGTTTATTTTTGTTGCTATACACCTGTTCAGTTTGTTTTTTCATAATAGTCTGCATATTGTATCAGCAGAAACCTCACTGTTAATACTGTAATCAACCCTCATTTATCTGGCTGCTAATTTTGAATTACCTACTGAGACTCTTACAATCTTTATTTCATCTCTCTTGCCTAAATTTGTCATCTTCCAGTTTTCTTTGAGCTTAAAATACTTTCAATGGTGGCAAATATCTTTGTAAAAAAGCATGTTCAGCTACTTAGAAATTTGAATATTATCATGACTTTACCATATCAAATTTTTTATTGGCCCAATAGTTTTGTATAGTCTTTTTTCAGCTTCAAATTACTTAAAGCAGTGTATCTTCTATTATAAAATACCTACAAAAACACAACAACTTATTTTCCAATCCTCAAGGTTCATAAACACTATTGATAAAAGCATGTTGCTAAATAATATTATCTTCTTAATAAAATAAAGGTGTATAATCATTTTATGTAGTTGACCCAAAACTTTTGTCTCTCAGTGTGCTCTTTTACTCTACAAATGAATTTTGCTTGCTGACATGCACATGATTGATCATGTGAATTATATTTGAGTGTTGTCATGTGAATAACAATTATGACAACATTATGACATCAAACTTGCATTAACCATGTTTTAATTGATTTCTTTATTAACTTGTTGGCCCACACCACTTTTGTGGTTGAATCAATGTGGATCAGAAAAAAGCAAAAATGATAACAGCAGCAGCGTAATAACAATTACTACTACTATTATTATTATGACAAAGTTAAACTGGGGTATGCATATATGAAGCTCAATATATCCATTTAACCCAGTCTGATTATAATTATTATTATTATTATTTTTATTAACAACAACAGCAACAATAATAATCTTATTATAATTCTGCTTGTCCCTCCCTTAGTTCCTTAGCACATACATTACAACCTCCTAATACCTCTTAAATAATGGACTATTCCATTTTGATCATGTGGAAGGATGGAAAAGACATATCAGAGATACTACTTGGTTTCAATGGGAAAATGAAAGAAAGCAGGGAAGATAGAAGTGTTTAACATCTATTCCATTTTTATTATGTGGAAAGACGGAAAAGACATATCAGAGATACTACTTGGTTTCAATGAGAAAATGAAAGGAAGGAAAGATAGAAGAAGCTATAACGTGTGACATTTGTTTCAATGAAATAGAAAAGGTTACTAATTTCAAATCTTTTCATTTGTATCCCCTTCTTTAAATATCAACCTGCATTCATATTTATGATTGTTATTGCAATATTTTGTTAAAGTTGTTAAGCTCAAATAGTTAATGATATAATAGGTGAATTTCTATGGATATTTTATTGTCGTAGAACTCACCATGAGCTTATTCAATAATTAACTTAAGAATTAAGATTCATCAGAAAATGAAAATAGAAAAACTGTGAAATTTTCACAGGTGTTTCTAGTAATAATAATAATAATAACAATTATTATTATTATTGTTGTAAAAAATCAACTTACACACAGCAAATATCCAGCAGAAAGTGCTTGTTGTCTGAGGTTTTCAGACTTGACAGTCACTTAAAATTATTTCAAGTGTTTGAAACCATCACCATGCTAATTTCAATTATTATTATGCTGATGTTGCACATTGACATAATAAATGGAAATTCTGTTCTTAAGGCATGGTATCAATAAGACTTATCACAACTAAGAACTTTTCAGAAAATCCTCACAGTTTTCTGGAGGTTTACAATCTTGGTCTCAATTCCACTTTTCCCTAAGCACTTTTTCAGTTTTCTAGATGGTGTTATTACCATTATTATCATTATGTATACTTATTATGTTTATTTCATTTTATTATGTTTCTATCATTTTTATTATCACTATATCGAGTATATTGTTAACTTTCTGTTATAAATCTATTACTTTTACATAAAAATCATTATTTTGTCAGTAAAATTAAAACCTAACAAGTTCAGAATGGAAACATAAACTTCATCTTGGTGACTCAAAATTCAGTGAAGCAACCTTGAAACTTAAAATTGATAAATTTATACATTGAAGTCAGATAAATATTTGATAAAATGCTATACAACTGACTTCTTTTCTTATTTTTC